AGCCGGTGCACCGTGCTGATCTGAAGCCAGGAGCCAGGTGCTTCCCCTGGTCTCCCATGCAGGTGCAGGGCCCAAGGACCTGGGCCATCCTCCACTGCACTCCCTGGCCACAGCAGAGAGCTGGACAGGAAGAGGAGCAACTAGGACAGAATCTGGCGCCCCGACCGGGACTAGAACCCGGTGTGCTGGCGCCGCAGGCAGAGGATTAGCCTATTGAGCCATGGTGCCAGTAAGCTCCACAATTTTTATAACTTAGTTTTGAAGTATGTATGGGAGGGTGTGCTTCCTCTTGGTTACAGTTCCCCTCCGAAGACAGTGTCTTGCTAAAGTAACTAGATTTCTATCACATGCTTTGAGTCACTTTCTGATGTATACTTTCATGTACATGGAAATTAACATGACAAATTATAAGGTCAGGGAGAAACGTGTCTACAAATAGAAAAGCAGCATTTTTATTTAAGTCTCTACAAACCATATCTCAGTCTTCCGAAGAATTGCTTCCCTGGTTCTGTATTTACAATGCTAATTTATAATGACATTAAGTAAGTTGTTAGAAAACTGGTTTCAATTTTATTTCTTGGGCAGAAGGTAATTTGTGACAAAGTGACATAAAATTCAATATTTCACTCTAATATTGTAAAATCTACCTTCCTTAAGATGCCTTCAGGTTTCAACAACTATAACCTTGAAATGACCCAATTAACAGCATTTACCTAGGGTTCCTTGTTTCAATTTTACATCATTCCAAAACAGAAATCTTTGATGTAAATCTTCAGTATTTACAAATGATTCTTTTCCTCTCCACTCTCTTGAAGTTCCTTGACCAGTTAGGTTTCACAGACTTGTCTTTTTTTTTTTTTTTTAAAGATTTATTTATTTATTCACTTGAGTTACACACAGAGAGAGAAGGAGAGGCAGAGAGAGAGAGAGAGAGGTCTTCCATCCGCTGGTTCACTCCCCAATAGGCTGCAACAGCCGGAGTAGCGCCAGGTGCTTTCTCCCGGTCTCCCAGGCAGGTTCAGGGGCCCAGGGACTTGGACCATCCTCTGCTGCTTTCCCAAGCCATGGCAGAGAGCTGGACAGGAAATGGAGCAGCCAGGACTCGAACTGGTACCCCTATGAGATGCTGGCATTGCAGGCAGCAGCCCCACTCGCTACGCCAAAGCGCCAGCCCCCAGACTTGCCTGTTTTAACCTATGCCTGTTAATCAATGCTTGGAGACTAATTTTTGTTATTTGCTAAAAAATCCCTCATTTATGGATAACATTCCAGTTGAAGTATTCAGAAACAATAGTACTTATGTTGTAGTCTAATTGGCATCTTCATTTTGAATATATGTAGAAATATGTAGATATAGTGGCTGTTTGTCAGCTTGTGCACCCTAAGAGTATTCTGACATGATTTAAAGACTTTAGGTGCATTTGTTGTATTGTACTTCACAGGTTCTTTTCACACCCCAAGATTTACTACTAACTGTAGCTTTGTCCCTTTTTTTGCTTTTACATTTGATTTATGAGAAACATTTTACTATTAGACTGCAAAAATGCTGGAATTTCTTATGGGCCATCTTCTCCGGCTTTCCCAGGCCACAGCAGAGAGCTGTGGAGCAGCCGTGTCTCATATCGGATGCCGGTGCTTCAGGCCAGGGCATTAACCTACTGCCCCACAGCGCCAGCCCAGTGTGAAGGTATCTTAAAGAGTGTCATAGATATATTGTGAATACCCTTTAAAGAATTTTAAGTTCCAGACTTGCGTAGTACCTTCTCAATTTACTGTGTTATTCTCTTATATTTACTACATTCCTTTGAGCAACTCAGTTTAAACTTGAAGTCTCCTATAAAAATAGCAAAGTACTTTCCATATAGTACGGGGCAGAGGTAAGGGGAGAGAGCCAGGTTTTTTTGGTTGGTTCTGTTGGTGTTCATTTGATTTCCCAGACTAAGTTGTAAACAGTGAAAAGTGGCCTGGTAAATGTATCTTGAGAGGATGTAAGACATTAAGCAAGTAGTAGTTAGAAGCCTCTTAAGGGTTTTGCTGGTTGTTGGCTAGTCTAATCAGTGCCTTTGATTGCCTTAAAGATTGTAGAGAAAGGATTAAAAAAGGGATGGGGATTGAAATAGGGCAAGGAATGATAGTCTCTATACATTTTAAAAACTCCTAATTTAAACAGCTGCTTTGGGCTTTGTTGATACTCTGGCAACTAGTGACTTGCTAATTTTGGATTATCTAAGAGATACCTACTCGTTAAAATGTTAACTGCTTTCTAAAATAATTTCTTAAAATTCAGTGAATAACAACTTAATGAGTCTTAATCTGAATTTTGAAATAATGGAATTTTGTATATTTACTGTTGTTTCATGATCACTGATACTTGATTGCTGTTCTAATAGAACTTGTAAATAGTTGTCTGTATTAATTCTGTAGTGACTTTTTTTGAAAAAAAAGATTTATTTATTTTATTTGAATGGCAGAGTTACAGAGAGGGACAGAGATCTTCCATTTGCTGGTTCATTCCCCAAATGACCTTGATGGCCAGGAGCTTCTTCCGGGTCTCCCATGTGGGAGGCGGGGTCCCAATACTTAAGCCGCCTTCTGCTGCTTTTCCAGGCACATTAGCAGGGAGCTGGCTTAGAAGGGGGGCAGTAGAATTTGAACAAGTGCCCATATAGGATGTCAGCGTCCCAAGCCACAGCTTAACCTTCTGCTACAGATACTTTTTTTTTTTTTTTAAGATTTATTTATTTATTTGAAAGCAAAAAGAGACAGAGATCTTTGATCCACTGGTTCACACCCCAAATGGCTACAGTGGGCTGGGCCAACCTGTAGCCAGAAGTCAAGAGCTTCTTCGGGATTTCCAATGTGGAAGCAGGGGCCCAAGCACTTGGGCCATCCTCCGCTCCTTTCCCAGGCACATTAGCAGGGTGCTAGATGGGAAGTGGAACAGATGAGTCTCGCAAACCAGCACCCATATGGGATGCTGGCGTATCGGGTGGCGGCCTTACCCACTACACCACAACCCTGGCCTCACCATAGATTTTCTTAAGGCATTTAATTGGGACCTCAGAATTGCCATGTTCTGTCTAAACCTAATTTTGTTGATAGAATAATAGCTATTGAGCACTGACTGTATGCTGAGAACTTTACATGTGATCTCTTGTTCAGCTATCCTGCAAGACTAGATAGTGATCCTATCATTTAATAGATAAAGAGAGACCTATCCTATTCAAAAAAACTCTGCTATAGTATAGTGGTTTAACAGCATAAACTCTGGGACCAGTTTGCTGCTTACTAGGTCTGTGATGTCAAGCAAGTTTCTCTTATCTGACCCAGTTTTCTCATCTATGAAATGAGAATAGTAATAGCACCTACATCATAGAAAGGGCCGTTGTGTAATAAACAGTTTCTTAACTGCTGTTTTATTTATTATTTTATTTATTATTATTTTATTATATATTTTTTATTTTATTATTTATTATTTTATTTATTTTAAAGAGTTACAGAGAGAGGTAGAGAGAGAGAGGTGTCTTCCATTCCGCTGGTTTACTCCCCAAAGGACCGCAATGGCCAGAGCTGAGCCGATAAGAAGTCAGGAGCTTCTTCCGGGTTTCCCACGCAGGTGCCAGAGCCCAAGGAGTTGGACCATCTTCTACAGCCTTCCCAGGTCATAGCAGAGAGCTGGATCAGAAGAGGAGCAGCTGGGACTCGAACTGGCGCCCATATGGGATGCCGGCGCTACAGGCTGGGGCTTTAACCCACGGTGCCACAGCACTGGCCCCTGTAACTGATTTTTTTTTTTAAAAGATCTATTTATTTAAATAAATAAATAATTTTCAAATGAAAGGCAGAATTTCAGAGAGGCTTAGGCAGAGAGAGAGAGAGGTGTCTTCCATCCGCTGGTTCACTCCCCTAGTGGCCGTAGCAGCTGGAGCTGGGAGGATCCAAAGCCAGGAGTTTCTTCCATGTCTCCCGTGTGGCACAGGGGCCCAAGGACTTGGGCCATCTTCTGCTTTTCCAGGCCATAGAAGAGAGCTGGATCAGAAGAGGAGCAGCCTGGACTCAAACGGTGCCTATATGGGATGCTGGCACTGTAGGCTGCGGCTTTACCTGCTACGCCACAGTGCCAGCCCCTTAACTGCTATTATTCTATTGTGTGAATGAAGAACTTTTTAAAAATGATATGGCAGGTTTTGTTTTGTTCCCAAATGTATAAGTTTGCACAGTTGCAAGGGGGTTAGGGTTGGAGAGACAGTGAAGAGGGAGACCTGCTAGGGAGCAGGTTTGTCAGCAGTTTAGTTCCCTTAAACTGTTCCTGATCTATGAGGTGGATCATTACTTCTACAACTTGTCCAAATGAGCCCATAAATTAAGATTCTGTGGTGATAGCCCAAGGGAGTGTGCCCCTAAGGAATGGTAGAAATAAGTGATAATTATGGTGGGTAGGTTTCTACCCTAGCTTAAAGAAACCACACATATATAATGGATTCTAAAGGTGGAACTCTATGAAGTCCAACTCAGGAAAGGACTCTTCATTGTTCATTAACAAATTCTTCCCGCTTTTTGTAGATCATAAGAAGTTTCTGTATTGTGAAGGGTTTGCTTATTTTACCTAAACGCTGTATGTGAGAACTACTTTGTTGTTAAGCAGATAAATATTTATAAAGGCACTTGATACATAGTAGTATTGATAAAACTATGGACTAGTCGCAGTCATGTACACCCACACAGAAAATTAGATGCTAGTTAGTATTTAATTTTTGTCTGTTATCACTTTCTTTTAGAATTGTGATCCTGAATTATCACTGGGGGTCTGCTGAATTTTGTCCAGTTTTTAATTTTTTTCAAAGTGTTGTTTTGAGCAACTATATGTGATTTTTTTCTTTTGATTTTATTAAGGCAGTTACACTATACTAGAAATCTAAGTCTTCCATTTTTTTTTTGAAAAGTGGTGATTTTACTGTACATTCTCAACTTCATTTCCATTTGATTCTCGGATCTCACAGGAATCCTTCAACTGCTTTCTACCAAGCGTTCCATTTGAACACGTTTCAGGAATCAAAGAGCATCTGGGATAGGTATGAATACTTACATATGGAATGCATACATGCAAAAGTGTATGCATGAATTGCTTTGCACTGTACTGGTTTCTTGTCATTAAAACTGATTTTTATTTGTTTTTTAGAGGGTTATCTAGCATGGGACAAAGCAGCAATATAAACCAAAAGGATAAGATTATAAACATACTTTTCTTTTTACTGCATTTTGTGCGCTTTATTTTTCAAGGATTTATACATTCTATTGAATTGGAAATGAAATAGCCACTTATCTACTGTATTTTAATGCAAAACTACTTTAATTTTCATGCTGTTTTATACAGTTTCTCTTTAAAAGCTGTTATCATGCAAAGAACAATGTTATTTCAAAGTAAGAAATTTGAAAAGGGACAAGACCAAGCTATCAAAATAATCATTTAATTTTTAGCAAGAAACTTTAATGTTTGTTTGCTAGAATTCACTAGATCTGCTTTACTGGTGTGCATTCCCCTAAAACAGTTTGCTTTCCCACAGAAATCCTTAAAGATTTTATTTTTAACTTTTTAAAATATAGAGTGGAGTTATGGAGTTCATTCATGGCTGAAGATTTGGTTTATCTTTCTGCTTAACACATTTTAAGTAGTGTATGCTCTGTTCAGTTATTTTGCTGAATATTTATTAGCACTCTATCGTTCTGTGTTTAAGTTGAGTGCAAAGAGTATTTTTAAAATTCACAGAAAGCTTGATAGATTCTTTTAACTCTTGACTGGCAAAGTATTTGTGTCTTCTGACATAGTTTGCATAACACTCATGGACTCAACTCCATTTATTAGAAAAGAAGTATTGCTAAGTGTGTGTACTTTAGACACGGTCTACATTGCCTAGAAATGGTAAAAGATGCTTTTAGTTCTTGGGCTTGATTTGCTTACAGGTGTCCTTCTAAAGACATTGTCTAATAAAGTATCTTTTTGATGGCCTGTTCCTTATTTAACCAGAAGTGTTTTAAAATAATTAACTTTTAGATTAGGAGCTATAAAAATTTGTTGTACCCTGTTTATAAGATAAGTTCTTAAATAGTTCTGCCACAATAGTGCAAATTATGCATAAATGTAAATTATGGCATGAAACAAGCATCAGAGTTTCCTAATTTGAATAGTTTACCAAATATAGCCAGAGTATGAATTCTTTAGGGTGTACTTTATACAAAGGAAAAATGGCACTCTAAAAGAGTAGTTTTTATGTATGTGGTAATTCATTGCAAATAACTGACTTTTGTGAGCTGCTATGATATCAGTATGAATGATACATTTTCATCAAAACAGTGTAGAAAGATTTGAACTTTATTTTTTATAATACTTTGGATCTAATATTAGGTTTGTTCCTTTTCATTATAAAACAACCATAGAAGTTGCCTGCTCATCATTTGTTGTTACAGCTAAATACTCCTTATTTGTTTTCTTTTTTTAGATACCAGAAACTTTTAAGGTATCAGAAATGAGGCAAGTTGCTGTATCTGTAGTTTCACATAGGTTGAAAATATTTTCTCCTTGGAGCCTGTGGACCAGAGCCAAAGAAGTTAACAGATACTTGTTTGTAGTGTGTTAATGCCAAAATAGAATCAATTAAATTCTAGATCAGCCTTTCTTCACTGTAAGTTAGCCTGTTGGTACCAACATGACAAGCTCAACCCAGTAGAAACTGAGTATTAGCTTCCTTTTAAGTTTATTAAATAGTTAATTGAGAGGAGCAGTAGTGGCTAGCTAACAATCTGCAACTTCAATTGGCAAATATCCACAGATTTGCTCAGCTAATAAAGTATTGTGGGACTCTTTATTCATAATCAGATCAGACAAGGGTCAAAGATTTGTTAAACTTTAAAAAATATTAACTATAACTTATGGCCTTGTTTGTTTTATAACTCACCAGACTGCCTTGTTCATATTTGATTAGCATAAATTTAGGATTTTTAAAATTTTATTACTAATTTGGCAAAGATGATTCTATTAAGTAGAATCATTTGGAGGTTTAAGAAGCTATAAGTTGCTTACTTTATATACTGCATGATCTACTTACTTTGAGATATAAATTTGTCTACCAGTGTTGCTAGATAACAGTATTTCAGGCTTCTATTTGTGAATTCTCGGAATCATTTTCAGTAGGGACAACTGTTTAGCCCATACCAATTTTCATTATACCTGCTCTAAATATTCCAAAGATCCCTGTTTTACCTTTTTTTTTTTTTTTAAATTTATTTATTTATTTGAAAGGTGGAGTTGCAGAGGCAGAGGCAGAGAGAGGTCTTCCATCTGCTGGTTCACTCCCCAAATGGCCAGAGCCAGGCTGATCTGAAGCCAAGAGCCAGGAGCTTCTTCTGGGCCTCCCAGGCGGGTCCTAGGGTCCAAGGACTTGGGCCATCTTCTGCTGTTTTCCCAGGCCATAGCAAAGAGCTGTATCGAAAATGGAGCAACCTGGACTCCAGCTGGCACCCTTATGGAATGCTGGCCCTGCATGCAGAGGCTTTACCCACTCTACGCCATAGCAGCAGCCCCAGTTTTGTCCTTCTTGAAAGATTTTAGTCTCTTTTTTTTTTTTTTAACAGAATTCTTTCAATTCAGGAGAATATCTTTTAATCAAAATATAAGTAATTAATATTCCTTTCTCTACATTGATTAAGTTTTCTGATGGTCTGGTTTTTTTCCTCCCCTCTATAAATTAGAATTAACAAGTTGAGATGGTTTTTACCAGTCTGCCTCTGCTGTATTTAAATGCTCTCTCCTTCCATCAATATCCAGTACTTTGTTTGGTTATTATGCTAAAATTAAAGCCATTATCAGGCCTACCTTTCTTTTTTCCTATAAATGCCATTATGGTTTCTGTCTTCTTGTTTATCATTCGTCAGGAACATAGGGAGGGAATCAATCAACTGAAACCATCTTTAAATATAAAGAAAGTAGAAATTGATAGCTCAAAAATAATCTTTCTTCAGAAGACCTATGTATTAAAATGAATAATGCAGCTTGCATGGTTAGCTTTGTAAGAGATTATCTAACTTAAAGTCAATTTTTAGTGATAATCTATTAACATTCCAGAATAGTAACTTCATTTTTAAAGACTTTTTGATTGATTGATTGATTGATTCGAAAGGCAGAATTACAAAGAGGTAGAGACAGAGAGATCTTCCATTTGTTGGTTAACTCCCTCCAAATGGCCACAGCAGTCGGGCTGGGCCAGGCCAAAGCCAGGAGCCAGGAACTCTGTTAAGAATCTCCCAAGTCACAGAGACTTAGGTCTCTGTACTCAAGTACTTGGGTACTTGAACCGTCATCTGCTGCTTCCCAGGCACATTAACAGAGATCTGGATCAGAAGCAGAGGAGCCAGGAGCCAAACTGGCACTCCAACATGTGATGCGTGTTTCCCAAGCAGTGGCCTAACCTACTGCACCATAACACCCACACCCAGAATATTTTTCCTATTTAAAGAATAGCTTTCTAAAGTTTTTCTTGGCTTTGTTAAATTTGTTTAGAAACATAGCCTGATAATCATGGGGGACCAGGCCGTCATTGGGAATTTGTGTGCAAAAGTGTGTAGTAAGAATTTAGAGCAGCCAATTTTACCCTTATCAGGACAGTAAGATAAAGGAGTACTGGAGAGAGGAAACATTTTGTTCAGGTAGATTTAAGGAGTAAATTGTAAGGATTTAACCTCATTGTTAAGCACATGCAATGTTTTTGTCTTAATGAAGAAAATGCATAAATGTAGTCATTTGAAATAACAGTTGCTAGGTGCACCATCCCCTTGAGCCTGCTTGTTCTTTCTTAGGATAGCACCAATAACAGAAATTAATAAGGAAAATACAAATAGTAGACCTAGATCTACTAAAATGAATATCTAAATAAGTAATGAATATGGACAGACTCTCTCTTGTCATTATTGCCTAAAACACAGCATGACAACTATTTGGAACTATATTAAGTATTATAAGTAATCTAGAGATGATTTAAAGTATAAAGGAGTTTATATGCAAATACTGCACCATTTTATATATAAGGGACTTAAGTATCCACTGATTGTGGTATCCAAAGGGAGTGCTGGAACTAGTACATCTTGGCTCCCAAGGGATGAGTGTAGTCTCTAACAAATGTGTTTGTCCCAGATTATAAACATTGACATTTACAGGAATATTCCTGTGATTACTTTAACTGATCCTTTTCCCAATCAAAAGACAAGCCTTAAAATTTCACTCTAGTATGGTAGCCTGGAATGAAGCTAAGAGGCAATATCAGAGAAGTTTGCAGTTACTTGACACAGCAAAAGTTTATTGACTCTTACAAGTAAATATTGGAAAAAAATAAGATCAGTAAATTTCAGTTCCTGCCTTTAATGAACTTGGCCTTAATATGAAAAACGATAGGCAAATAATACATTATCACATGATTGAGAGTGGTAACTGTCATACAAAATTAAAGTACTTTATGCCTCAAGTACAGCAGGAAGAGTTGAAGAGTTCAAACTTTAGTAAAGACCAAATTGCCAGAAGAGAGTAGTGTATAAGAGGGTCAAACTAGGACCTTTGGCAACACCACCTGCATTTTGAAAACAGGAGAAAAGAACAAGTAATTTTTTGTTTATTTGTTTTTTAAAGATTTATTGTTTGGAAGTCATAAGAGGAAGATCTTCTATTCCCTTGTTCACTCCCCAAATGGCTGCAACAGCCAAGGCTGGGCCAGACTGAAGCCAGGAGCTTCATCCAGGTCTCCCACGTGGGTAGCAAGGGTCCAAGGATTTGGGCCATCTTCCACTGCTTTCCCAGGCGCATTAGCAGGGAGCTGGATCAGAAATGGTTCACCCAGGACGTGAACTAGTGCCCATACGGGATACCAGTGTTGCTGTGGTAGCTTTACCCTCTACACCACAACGCCAGCCCAGAGAACAAGTGATCTTAACAGTAGAACAGAGGCAGGCCATTGTGGTTCAGCAGGTTAAGCCACCACTTGGGATGCCTGGCGTGCAGGTTCCAGTTAGGGCTCCTTCATTAACACTC